TAACTTTCTGATTGCATGAAGGTAATGCTGCAATGCTCAAAAGTATTATGAATATTTATTCTGGTCCCAAAACTTGAGATGTTGGAGGATAATTTTTTAATGAATGCTGTATTGGAACTCATATTCAAGTTTTTGAAGCAACGACGGCATAATAGTCTATTGATTTCGTCCATCACTCGTGGTATAAGAAGGTGGAACACAATGGTGTTGGATGGTTGTCACACCGCGGAACCCGAAGCTTCCGCTCCAATTCCAACCAGGTGTGATATGACAGCAATCCCCTTGCGGTCTCCTCCTCTACTTGGTATAAATAAAAAGTTAAGCAAAGCAAAGAGAAAAAGATGGTCACTGTGATAAGTCTTTTGGTGTTACCCTCATGATGGCGTACGAGTCGTGGTTGGTGGAGAGGGCGAAGGAGGAGCTGGAGATGCTGGAATCGCAGCATCCCACCCGCTTCCACCATCTCAAGCTCGAGCTCAAATCGCTCATCTCCCAACCCAACTCCGGCGCTCAACTCTTCCCCCGTGCTGTCGATGATGACGCCTTCGGTCCTCCTCTGGCTTCTGCTGCTGTTCCCACACAAGGTATCTTATTCCCTTCTTTTATCCATTCCGATCTGTTGTTCATACATCGTGTACCACATCGATTGTTCTTTCTCTGCTCTCTTTCCTCGCAGCGTCATCTACTCGCAAGAGGAAGACTGAGACCGAGCGGCGGAGCCTGCATCAGAAGAACAAGGCACAGAAGTCGTCATCAGCATCAAGACAAACCGGTGGACGTGATGGGAGCCGGAAGAAGAGCGACAGCAGCGTGGAGGCAGCCATAAGGCGTGCTCAAGCTTGCCTCAGGAGGATTCAACAGGTTAAGCAAACCTTGCTTTTTGCTAGCTAAGGCCAGTAAAGGTGACATGAAAGGCCAGCCGGGTTTGTTCTTTTACGATGTTTTGGAGTGTGACAGTCTAAATGAGATTATATCTTCTACAAGAGCCTGAAGAGGGGGAAACATACATACCTTCATCTGGAAGCATGTATCCAAGTGAAAAAGCTGTCAATTCCCTTCGTTTGAAATGATGCTTTCTGCAAGTAACATGTGGTGGCTTGACACCAATAGATGATAGATGATGATGTGTACTTTCTCAATCAGATAGCTCGCGAGGAATATTTTTCAGATTCAGACAGCACGAGTTTACTCTACACTGAAGAAAACACATCATTAAGGCATATCAAGCAGAAAGCATAGAATTTGTGTTTGGTAGATGCAATGGAGCACTTCCAAATGGAGTAACAAGTGGCTTAAATGTTTCATCCTAGTCAGAAAGCTGATATATGATGAGATATTTTAATGAAAATGAGCTAAAAAGTAGCTTTTTCACTTCTCACATACAAAAATGGGATTGCATTTTCTAGCAATTCCAAGTGCCAAAACGATAAACCGATCTCGCTAAATTTCAGAGCTCATACCAAGCAGAAGGGTTAGATGATATCTATATCACTTTTTCTTCCTTTTACTTTCACGGAATTTGTCCAATGTTGAAGCCTCTTAAGTCATTGGTTGACACAGCAGTATTTTGTTTTTTCATACCTTTCCTACCTCCATGACCAAACTTGGCTTCTCTGAATTCCCTTTTCTTCCTACCCTTCTCATTGCCTACTTTCCTTTTGAACCCCCTAGTCCTGTCACCAGGAGCCACCCCGGTGCGCCTTTTCTTCGACCTCTCAAAGCCTTTTTCCTCGTCTAGTGGCAAATCCAGTTCCTCGTTGTTCCCTCTAGCAAATCCACTTTGCTGCCGTTGTTTCCTCCATTTTTTAACTGATTCAATGTCCTCTTTCTTGGGCTTAGCCCTCTCTTTAGTCTTCTGGGCCTGGACCTCCTTTGCCAATTTCTTCGCTTCCCTTGCTTTCTTCCTCTCTTCAGCTTCCTCTATCTTCTTCTTCTCTACTAAGAGCTTGCCTTTAACCTTCAACATGTGAGAATCACTCTTTACCATCTCCGCATAGTAGTCTGGAGGCCTAAGAAATGGAATCCCCACGGCCTGTAATTTTTCAAAGGCCTGCCGAGTGCCATCTCTCATGCCAGGTCATCATTTACATCAATCTCTTGCTCCTGAGCATGATCAATGGTTAGCTTGTGAATCCATTCAACATTTTCCGGCCAAGTTATATCATTAAGCTTCTCAAGAAGAGCCTCCTTGTTGTAAACAGCATTCTTTGAAGGTTCACTCAGTGCCACTTCCTCAGGTTCAGATTCTGATCCGGACTCAGATTCCTCACCAACATTGTCATCCTCCAGCATTAATACATCTGGCAGAAGTTCTGCACCCCTGAGTGCAACCATTATGGACTGTCCATGAGAAACACAGTCAAACCATATAATTTTATAGTTTTATATATGAAACAATTTAGCTGCATTAGTTTCCAAGTTCTCAGCTTTTGAAACACAGGATGAAATTAAGTTACTAACTGGAGAAAGAAGAAAAGACAACAAAACCAATCATTCAGTAATTGTCCACATAACAATAACAAGATAAGCAATGGAAACATGGAAAGATAATCGACAGTAAAAACTAAAGAAAAACAAAGATAAAGCAGATGGATTTGTATCTAAGTGACACATCTTGCCAAACCATCCTTTAAGAAGCACAAACTGAAGGTACAAATAGAGAGAATTAAAAGGAAGCGAAAAATCATAGGAGGAAAAACAAAGAGGGAAAATGGAGAAAACATTCTTGGGCACTAGCATTTCATGATGGATAGCATTAGATAAACATCTACCAGAAGTTAGAAAATGTACATACATTATAAACAGCAGCATGCAAAATATAGAAAATAAAATTAAAGCACCAATATGTTGATGCTCTAGTCATAATTCCCCTAAACACCGATAAATTTATTGAAACTTATTTCGAAAGCAGAACATATAAACCTAAAAAAGGGTCATAAAGTTAACAATTAAGCTGTTGTGCAGAATGATATGAAACTGGAGTCATAGTCACTTCTCAAGCTTGTTGGACTGCAAAACATATTTTTCTGGACTTCCATTAAACAAGCAAAATTTAAAATTCTCCTATTCACTTTCGTATCTCCGACTCAAGTATCTTTACAATCTTTACTATCAAGTTTATAACCTAAACAAAATCGTCATTCGACAACATAAAATATGTAATCAGAAAAGTGGCAAAAAAAGTGCAAAAATCTCAAAAACCTTCATTTCCACATATCCCCTAGTTAGTAGACAAGACACAATAATGTCTGCCAACAAAGACACTAAGTGAACAATCTAGGGTTCATCTAATAGAGTATAAAGGCCCATCCAAACCGGTGAGAAACTCGTAGCTGCTTTCTAGAAATTTCGATTTTCATAGCCAGATGTAGCACAAATTGTTATGTGGAAGCGAATATTGTTGAGAGGAAATGCCCAAAAAGGTGAGAGATAAGGCAGGTATAGCCCTATATTATCAAGAAGGTTAATATTCATCATATAGACTATTAGGAAAATAAGTGAGATGAAGATCAAACAAGCTGATAACGTCTAAAATCTGAAGAGCAGCATACCCAATCCAAACTCAAAAGAACAATGATACAACACGAAGCAAACACAAAATCTACCATCAAGAACTACGTGGGACGGTAAACGACTTAGTGAAGATGCTGAAATAGAAGAAAAGGGCGGAAGATTACCAGCAAGGCGTATACCTGGGCGTGATGGATCGGCGGTTTCCGCTGGGAGTGTCGCCGAACAAGAACGAAAGGGCCGTCTGGAACTATATAACGCTCGTCACAACGACCTTATAATGAAATAAGACCAATCTCGGATAAGTTATGTATGTATCGTTTTGATATATAGCAGTATGCCGATATGCAATTGTCATGACCCGTTACAAGTACTCGTAATGGGCCTGCAACAGACACTCGGCCCATTTAGACTCCATGGGCCGTCTATAACTAGTGGATCATGAAAAATTATTTTACGTATATACACACACCGTTTCTTTATTTACTTTTTAAAAATTATAAAAAGAAAGGAAATAAAAGTTTATATTTAGTTTTGTGGATTAAATTTTATTATACCACCTATTTATTTTTAATTTTATCTTAATATTAAGAAAGTGTTTAGGTGAGTTTGCTCACCAGCAAATACATTTACATCAAGTATTGTCGGATATGTCGCCGTTTGTGTCTGTCACTCACAGAAGATCCAATTTGCAGATAACAAATTCACGGAAACCCACTGCTTCAATCGAACCAAATACCACATCTCAAGAACACGTGAATCTGTTCGGTAGAGGATGAATCATGCTTCAGAATCTTAGCAACCAAAGGCGTAGTCCATGGTAGCACAAAATCATGACACCATAATTGGGAATTCATACATTCTTTTGTCAACACTGATCATTTACCACCTCACAGTGTGACTTCTGCAGATATATCGTAAACCTGTTCCAATGTCTTGACTGTAACAGCTGAAATCAATTAAAAGAACCAGCAGAAAAATGAGAGACTCACCCTCTTTGGCTGGCTGTAGTGGCAAAAGGCTGGATTTATATCTGGATTCAAAACTTTGTTTTGCAAGGAATCTCGTCCAGAGCCAATCACTTTGGTTTGCAAGGAATCTCGTCCAGAGCCAATCAATGACAGTTGAGCCTCGACTATTGGTTTAGATTGAAACCCAGTGCAAGTAAATAAATAAGGAGAACATGTAGATAAGAAACTTGTCGTAAAAAGTAAACACAACACAACACCAGAGAGTAGAAAAGTCAGTTTTGCTGATCAAATAACTACCGGAAAGAACAACCTATGTATTTGCCTATCTTGAGCAAAATACATTGCAAAATGAAGGTGCAGTTCTTAAAAGTCCTGGTGACAAAAAGTGTTGAAACAATCTGAACTTATGTACTTGTGGATGCCTGCCTGAGTTTTGCTTGTAACAATAGACCAGCTTCATCTGCCATGTGTTTCTTCTTGGTAGTCATCTGCATATCAGGAAATGAGGGTTACGTGGTGGAGGGGATAGAAACATGCAACCGTATATGCAAAACTTCCAAATTCTAAAAGGAAAAAAACTAGTAACAGACAAAAGATGCTAGAAGAGCTGAGGCTAATGTCCTACATGGTACATGTGATGTAGGCCTACCACCAATAAAAATGTTGAACAGGAGAATGATACTTGCCGATGATGACATCATAAAAGATTCAACAAGAAAGTAGATCCACAAACAAAATATCATATCAATTACATGAGGATCTTTGGACATGTAAGATAACGTCAAATTGCAAAGTTATGTTGAACATAGAGGGGAAAAAAGAGTTCAACCCTAATATTGGCTTAACTAGGCTAATTTTGTATCTACAAGCCACTTATTTCACGCAAACACAACTTGTAGACAGCTTTATTTCAAACCTAAACCAATGAACACAACACGAAAGACAAAACATGTTTGGTTTGATTTGATTTCAGTCTAAATGGATTTGCTTTTGCCAAATTGAATGATGACCTTGACGATTCTAGTCAATTTTCAAGAAGCATATAGACAATAAAATTTTTTAGATAAGAACATACCTCCGTGAGTTCATCATGGTTTGATTTTAGTAAGGAAAGTTTTCGTTCACAATAGTCTTTGCCCTCAACCATGGTTTTCTGCTATGAATAAAGTGACACCAATTAGAAAGGCATCACAAGGAAGATCATGTAAAAATCCACAATATACAAAACAGACAATGTATGTAACAGTTCTCAGTTAAAATAGAAATATGGATGATGAGCAAGGCAGACTAGCAAAATGTGTTTCATCAAGTGATCTAGATCAGCCTAATGTACACAAAAGATGGAATCATATGGAAGCTGGATGAGTTTTCTACTCTTCAAAACCCATTAGTGGTGATCCCTTCCCTAAACTCAAAAGTCATCTACTATGAATATTGACAGCTATATACACATTCCCTTTGTCATTGGAAACAAAGATCCCTTCCCTAATATCACGCAACTTGCATCATTGTGATATCATCAGAACATGAACATTAACAAAGCAATTAAACCATGATTACCTTATCAACTCCAGGAAGTAGATCTAAGCGGTGTTAACAATAATAAAAGCTTCCATGCACCAGATGACGTTCCCTCTTCCCATCAATTGTAATTTCTGAAGTGATGTTCACTGAATAGAAGATTCAGCTTTAAAAAGGTTTTCCTAAAATCCTTGGTGTGAATCAGAATTCTCGCTACATGTCCAATAATTTACTAAACTATTCTTTTCACAGAGTATATAGAAGTTAGGCTGCGGACATTGACCCTTCCCAGACCTCACATTGGCAGGAGCTTCGTGTATATGTCATTTTTGTATATATCTTCAAAATGATGGATACTTCATGGACACTTCTTCAGTAGATTGTTGACACTTTGATGTTAATTTTTTTGATAAAGGATAAGATAGGCTTATGTTATGGATATATTGTTTGATGTTGTTTATATTCCATATCAGAATATGAATAATCAACTCTAAATGTTAATGTCATCTTACTTTGTCATTACGAGGGTTTGCTTCCTCATATTTTTTTGTTAAATTATTAGACCCAACTTCATTCCTAATGATAGTCTATAATGAATGATATTTACTTGTAATCATTAATCAATATCCATAACTACATATTTGAGTGTTATACATAAGTAACAATTTTGTCATATAAAACCAATGTATTTGAAATATTTCTAGTTGTCGTATTTATGCTATGCCATATGTTAGATCCTTAAGATCTCATGATTTGGCACACCAATCTACGTAATCAAACCATTCCACAAGCCCATAATATCTCCAATTCCACTTCTCAGTCTTTTTATTTTGCAATTTCCATGTCCATCAACAAGTCGAAGCAAATGATCCATCTAAATCCTTTCATGTCATGCTCTCTTATTAACCCTAGCTTCATCTCCCATTACAGAAACTGTCCACTGGTAGGTGTAAATGCCAATCGAAGTGTATTAAAGTGACATTGCATTTCAAATCATGATAATGCAGAGAGAGAGAAACAGGATCTTAAAACTTGGTAATCCAACAAATTCCGTATAGACTGTAGGACACTACCATTAGCTCATCCATTCAGATGTTGGGACTTAAACAAGAAAGAAAATGTTACTTCGCAAGTAGTAAAAAATGATGGTTTCTTTGCATGCCAAATAGATAGGCAGAAGATGGGTTTCTTAAACACAATTCCATGGAATGCCGGTGTTTTCTTGATTGAGATCAAATTATTGTTCAGGTCTCCAACTCAAATAGGACGCAGAAAGGAACCAGCCTGAAGACTAACTATTTGATTATGCTTGTGTTTTAACTTTGTTTCAGGACCCTAGGCAACAACAAACAAATTTTTGGCAGAGGCATAGCAGTAGGATAAAAGGGCTTCCCAACAACCCAGTAGTGGCGCCAAAAAATTACAATCTTTACATAATAAAGAGCAAGAAAGCAGTTGAAAGATTGCATCTTTATCTATTAGCAGGAGAACAGGAAGAACCTCGATGAAGTATCCAGTCCCGACGTCGACAAGAACCTTCTCAGCATCATCGAGCTTACCAGGAACATAAAGAGACGCCGTGAGCGGGACCAGCAACTTCTTCCCTACGTTGCGAAAAGACGGGTCTCGCTTCAGAACGATATGGGAACGGAAACAAAGAGAGAAGGATACATAGAGGCGGCGGTACCTCGAGGTCGAAGGGAGAGGTCGTGGAGGGCCGCGGCGGCATTCTCGAGGCGAGCGGCGGCAGTGCGGATCTTGGTGAGGCTGTCCTGGAGGAGATTGACCTCGAGATCGGACTGCTCCTTGAAGGATCTGAGCTGCTCCAGGCTCAGCTTCTCCATGTCGGAAGCCCTAATCGTGGTACTCGCCGCCGCGGCTCCCTTTGAGCCTCCGGTCGCCCTGATCGTACGCTCTCAAGTATCGAGAGAGGAGGGACGATCGAACGGTCCCAAATTAGGGATGTTATCGGGTCGGATCCGGCTTTGTCTCCATTACATTGTATAATGATAATTTTAAAACCATTCAGTTAAAAAATGATTTATTTTTATTTGAAAGGTATATTAAATACAGAAAAGTAAAATTATATATAAATATATTTTGATTAAAATTTTTTAATGTTTATTAAATTTAAATTAAAAATTAAAA